CTATGAATCAAAACATTCTAAAAAATTTCCCGAACAAACTTCAGGAAGATTCATGAAAATCCGAATTATAGTTTAGGAGGAAATATGAAACTTACATTGTTACAGAAGAATTTTATATATAAGATATATATATATATATATATATATATATATATATATATGGGTGGTCCTCAATATGGAAATGTTCGGATTTTTTTTCTCCTAAAGAACTCAATGCATCCAAAATGATCAAAAAAAATCTCTGAAAATTTTAGCTCTTAATATTAATCTTAATATAGTCCGCACTCCAACCAAAGTTTCTTATGAAATTAACATGGGTGAAATTCCATTTTCCTTGTAGAGTTTTATAACTTAGCGATAAGTTGAATACAAATTTTGAGAATAATATTGTATTTGCTCATTTTGCACATAAATAAAAAATTCACAACAAAAATTTTATATGTTTTATATAATAAGTATTTACTTAGGAAAAAAAATCTAGAAACTTTGGTTGGAGGCGGACTATACTAATGTTAATATTAAGAGCTAAAACTTTAAAGGCAAGATTTTTTTTATCAATTTGTCAGCATTTGAGGGTGCAAAGAAATTAGAAAATGTCCATATTAAGGACCATCCTGATATATTGACAATCATATAACAACTATGATTATTTATATTTTATGTATAATAATGGTAGTACTACAAAATTTAGATCATTTTCATTTTAGACAAATAAAATTTTTCAAACTTACATTTTTCTAGAATTCTTTAATTTTTATTATCCAATATCACAAATTTTATTAAAAGTATCACAAAATTTATCATTTCTCAGATATTTTTGGTCGTAATTAACAGCTTAATTTCACTTCATTTGTTTTAAATACTAAATCTCAACCTATTTCGATACGATAAAAAACTATACACTGTTACAAGCATATTATAAATTTTTATTAATTCACGTGGTTGAAAATAAGGGTTTTGTTAGTTTTCTGACTATGTTTTGGATAACACATGTTTGTCTAGTGGATATTAACCTGTAATTGAACGGGGTGCTCTCAACACAATAGCGTAAAGACAGATTTCTAGGGGCGCACGCGTAGTGACACGTGCTAGGGATCGATTTTGAATTCAGATATGCATTCCGGATTTTCAGATACGCATTAAGGTAGACGACGAATGCAATTTGATTGGTACCACATTTGTAGGTATTTTACCTTCCATTTCGAATATCCTGAAAATTATTTAGAAATAATCTTCATATATTATACACACATTGCTAATTTTTAATAACTTTTCTTCGATGAAATAATCTTTTTACTTCTATGATTGGAATTTTTATTGGACATATTTAATATTGACAAATTAAATGAAAATATTTCTTTTAGATTTTTTAAGTGTTATTTTTTTACTATTCTCATATGTTTCAATTTTTATGCCAACGTTTATAAAAAAAAATTGAGAATTGATTCAATGACATTGATTATATTTATTCTGGTATTATTTGTATTCATTAATACCTACATGTATATATTATGATATAAACGTACTCAAGATTTATTACAATACTTTATAAGATAATCTAATAATATGATAGATAACCTATTACCTATCATACTATATTATATTATTGTATATCATAGATAGATATCTATTATCTATCATACCGTGAGATACCTATACCGTCATTAACTTATTATATACCTACATACCTTTTACTTCTTATAAATACTACTGTGTAATTTATATATTCACCTATATTATATAGGTTTACCTTACGCCATATGTATTATCTCTACCTATTATATATATTATCTATTGTCTATACCGGGAATTGAACCCGGGACCTCCGCGTGGAAGTCGCGCACCTTAACCACTACCCTATCGGGTACCCCCATTTTAATATAATATGGGACGCACTGTTGTTTCCGCGGGTTATTTTCTAATTAATTAGATAATTAATACTGAGGTGGCGCGACGACACGCGAAAAAAGACGGTTGATTGTAGCGTTACGGTGGTGTAGTGGCTAAGGTCGTCGCGTTCCACGCGGCGGACCCGGGTTCGATTCTCGGTAGGGTTAATGTAGCGTGTAAAAAAAATATAGGTAATAGGATATATAGTAGATATAGGTTAGGTGTATTCGGTATACAATGTAGGGATTTGAGAGTATGTGATGAAATATAGCGCATGGTATAGATGTAAGGCATGTAGTATAGAATGCAACGTATAGGCATACGTAAGGCTATAGAAATACACGAATAGGAACCTATGATGTAGGTGTTAGCGTATAAGAAATGCGAATTTATATAAGAATTATAAGATAAGATATAAGATTTAATTTATGAATATTATTTTTTCTATAAGAAATTTTATCTCGGTATTAAATATCTAAAATATCCGTTAAGGCGTCGATTACACCTTACTGCTGCCTTTGCCGTTATTACTTCATAAAAAATTAATTACTGCACTTTTAAACGAATGTGTGCACTATGCGACAATAGACATAGAACTATAAATTTTATTAAATGTTTGAGTAACTTTTGCGAGCTGAATTTCTTAAGGGGGTATTCTACTGTAGAATTTTGAAAAAATCGAAAAAAAAATTTTTTCATATTTTCAAAGTTCAGTTATTCAGAAATATGTCATTAAAAGGATTTTTCAAAATCACTATTATTTCCTGAGTTATATCCGTTTAAGTGACGTGGCCTCGGTTTGGGTCCGACCGAGTCTCAAAACTTTGAACGCGTTTTTCTCGGAACTACTTTTTTCGAGCTGGCGGTAAGGATATCTCGAGTTCTAATGAACCGATTTATTTCAAATTTGGAGAGGATCTTCTCCATACATCGCTTTATCGCATGGACCTTTCGCAAAACTATAACTTTTTATTTAGTATTTTTAAAAAAATCGGAATTGTTAAAAAAAACATGAAAAAAATTTTTTTTTTCAAACTGTCGCCATTCAAACAAAATTTTTTTTTTAACTTATCCAAGGTTCATACGATAGCGGCATCTATAATAATTAAGAATCCATCTATTTTTCATGTTTCGGATCACCAGGAGGGTTGGAACCATGCACCCCAGGACGCCCTCTTTTTTTTGAGCCCCCACTTTGACTGCTCATAACTTTGTGAATTCTATTTTTTTTATGTAATAATAAAATATCAATAAACAAATCATAAAAAATCGATAGTAAAAATATAATTTGTTTCCTTTATACAGCGCTTCAAAAACCGGCCAAAATTCATGCTTCTACAGTAGAATACCCCCTTAATGTGTTCTTAGTCTCGCAACTTACTGAATTCTAAAAATTCTAAATTTAAAAATATAATATAAAAATTATTATACCGCTGTTTGGGAGGTATGGCAATTTATAAATATACAGACTAATATATACAGAATTTGGAATTTTTCTATAATCCGTAATATTGAGAAAGTTTGCATTAGACCTAAAAAGGGATCCGTATTTACCTAAGCTATGGAAATATATATGGAAAAATTATATGATTTGCATATGCATCCTGTGCTTACTTAGACTAAACAATGATCATAATATGTTTAACAATTTTTTAACAGTATTTACAAATTATATTCAAATCACCCAAAGCAAGTGGGTTAAAGTCGTGTAATTTTTTAATTTGCCTCCCCCATTTGAATTTAAAAATGGATTTTTCTTTGGGGCGTGTGCCCCACGTTGGGAATTACTACTCTAGGAGTACAATTTTTTAATCTACTACCAGGTTAAAATAATCGAGTGATCATCAATTCCACAGAACCTTCATCAGATTTTCAAAAGATCAAAGTTTCTATGAATATGCATACAAATCTCAAATTGTAGGCCGAAATTGAGACGATAAGTCTATCAGGTTAACTCTTTGGCTATAAATTGTCACCTAATTTACCACTAAATAAATGTCAATAAAACAATGATTAAAAAAAATTACCAATAGATCTTGGATTGTAAAAATTTACAAGCGATCGAACGGCTTATATTTTTGCCTTAGATGGAAAAAAATTCATCGAATTATTAAAATATTATTTTTTTTAAATTTAATTAAAAGCAAAAGAGTTCTTATGCTTTTGTATTTATAGAATTGCTTTTTTCGCTACAATCAATTTCCATTATATGAATGTCTTAAATTATTTATTTTATTCGACTAACGCCCGCTATGTCCGAAACAAGTCCAACTTATATCCGCAATATTAGGGTGTCAGACACTTTTCGGTCTTAAAGTAACATATGTGAAGTTTGAAATACACTACTGGATTGTAATTAATATTTCAGTTCATACACCTCAATTTGTTACTAAATTAAAAACAACTTTGATAAAACCAGTGGTGTTGTGCTAATATTTTTTGCCGGAACGCTAAAATTTCATGTTTTTTCCGGTTCCGTTCGAAAAGGAAAGAAACAAAAATTATTACAAAACCCATTTTGTGCACATGTATGTATGTTTATTACAATAATAACATTTAGAAAAATTAGTTGAATAATAACGTATAAAATTTACTTATTAAATCATTTTCTGTATGTAGCGATTTTTTTATATTTTTTCTTGCCGGAACGCGTTCCGCCCCAAAAATGATTTGCTGGAACGACGTTTATTACAATAATAAGAACATTTAATAAAAATTAGTTGAATAATAATTTATAAAATATACTTATTAAATCATTTTCTGTATGTAGCGATTTTTTTATATCTTTTTTTGCCGGAACGCGTTCCGCCCCAAAAATGATTTGCCGGAACGACGTTCCGGCGCGTTCCGGCTCGACAACACCACTGTATATATATATATATATATATATATATATATATAATTTATTTAACACTTTTTGCAGACGAAACTTGATTGTGCAATAAATGTAGTTTGCAATAATGAAACGTAGTACTTAAATTAATAGAGTGCTGAAATGAAATTGCTTTATTAATTGTATTATTTGCGTTTCCTGTTTGTGTGGTTATTGATGCTTCAAAAGTGGGATCAATACCTAACATTAAAGAAAAACATCATTCGTGAAAAACAGTTTATTCAGTAATATTTTTAATATTAAATAATTTCAGCTTTTTAAAATATTTTTGGACTTGATCTTTCGGATAAGGTTTTAACGCTAAACACGTGGGAATGTTTTCCGGTTGTTCGATCCATAATTTATGTTTTATGCCTTCGGTTTCCAAAGTGGTGTGAAGGGTTTGGATTGTATTTTCATTAGGCGCCTGAAAAGAATAGTCAATATTAGTGAAACTGTAAATAAATTAATAAAATATATCAAATTTCATTGCAGGTACGCTAAAAAAAACTTGCTTTCAAATTTCTCTTTAAATTCTACTAAAAAATTTTTGTTCTATAAGCTACAGTTCTGCTGTATAACTTAAACTATAATTAAAAGATTGTTAGGAAAAAGTTTTGCAAATGAAAATTACTATCTGTTTTTCAGATTAACTTGCATGAGTGAACACTCGATAAAAGTTTCTTTACAAAAATAAAAAAATGTACTTTTCCTTTTTAAAAATTGTTTTAGTTCATTAGTCCAAAAAATTTATCATTGGAATAACTTAGATATTTTTAAGAATATTAAATAAAATTAATAAACTAATTGAATAGGTTTGCAATAAAAATCTTATCGTGTGAATGATGATATTGATACGAAATTCTATTTCAAACTTTTTGTGTATTAATATTTCAAATTTTGATAGAATTATAAGAGTAAATATATAAAAAAACTAAGTTCTGGTTAAGTGTAAGTTTTTGTTAAGAAAATATTTATAATAAATCTCGCATTCGTTCCCTAATTAACTCATCCAGAGCATAAACACACAAATTATTTAAGAAAACTATAAAAATTGCAAACATTGAAAAACTGAAGTATATATATTGTAATTTCTGAACAGTTAACTACAAATAAATATAAACAACATCTATGTTAACTTATTAATGAAACAGAATGGTATATTAAAGGCATTAGAAGTTTTTTTCGTAACTCAAAATGGTGCTGTTTATATGTGATTTAAGGACCGATTCTGCCGCTTAACAGACCAATGTTACGGCAAGGCTATGAAGAACTTTCTTAAGGTGACCATACGTCCCGGATTGGCCGGGAAAGTCCGGATTTTCCTTTTTGCGTCCCGGTTTTTCTAAAAGCAATATTTGTCCCGGATTTAGGAGTTTTGTCCCGGATTGTCCCGGATTTTTAAAAATGTTTTGATTTCCAACATATTTTTAAATATATTTCAACTAGAAAATTTTAACCAAAAAAATGTGCATATAAGTTTTTAGATCAACAACATCGCCCGCTCTCACACAAATTCAAATCCGTCCCGGATTTCATACTAAACCCTTTAATGTCACCTTAAGTTTCCATACTAAATATTGACAAAAGCCATGTGATTGCTGTGCAGTCACGCGTTTTTCTCAGGTTGTCAGAGAGAAAAACTAACCGAGAAAAAGTACAAATGTCAAAAAAACGATCTTAGATAAAAGGGTCTTTCTGACCCAGCTTCATAACATACGGGTGACGTTGCAGTTTATGTGCAAACCGCCTGAATACACAGCAAATATATGGCATTTTGACAGTATTCAGTATGATTCAGTAGCATAATGTATAAAAGTTGGAGCGTAACATGGCCTTGCCATAACATTTTTCTGTTATGCGGCAGAATCGGTTTCTTAGTTTATTTTTTCAGAAAAGGTTCAATTTGTCTATGAGCAATTGTGTTGTGAAAATAGAACCAATTTTATCACAACAAATAACATTTATCAAACAAACAACTATCTGACTATGTTTAGTAAAATACCCAGCTAATAATAATTTCTAATTTTTATTTACAATCACACATTTCCTGAACTATTCCGAATTATCTCTAATATATTAAATATTATTTTATTATATTTCTCAAATAAGATCACTTACTTCCAGGACAACTTTATGCATATTATCCATATCCTTTAAATATTCCTGAGTATCAGGATCATCTCGAAATAAATGCATACAAGCAGTTGTGGCGTGGCAGGCTTGGGCCACCACTGCTCCAACGGGCCATCCCAAAGTTCTTAATAAATCGCCTCGAACAACCACATATTGAACAATTGTAGAAGACATAGTTATTTAATTTTAATTGTTTGAATGAAAGTAAACAACCTCAAAATATACTTTCACTCTAACCTCAATCGAATGTCAAAAACCGCATGTGTAATTTGATAGAAGCTCGCGCTTACCTGGTTTGAGTATAGATGGGAGCAAGGTTTTTGGAAATTTAATACAAATCCATAAGGTACTTATCTTATATTTATTAAACGGACGTATTTTATTTATTGAGGTCTGATTAATGTTAAACCTTATTTAATTTGGTTCATTTTTATCAATTCAGTACCAAGACATAAAATTACATGAGATCTGATCGCATGCCCGTTTAGCATGCTCTTAAATTCGACCATATGGTGATTTTTCGCTTTTGTATACCACAAAATATTCTGTTCTCATGTTTTTATTTTAATTTTGATTTAGTAATTAAAAGTTACAAATAAAAGTTTTCAAGTTAAATTGAACATTTTTATGTAAAAATCTATTTTTCTTATGATTTAGAATTTTGCCTGATCTGGTAGCCGTAATTATTTCAAACTTTTCAAATTTGGAATGTTGATATGTAATTAATATTCTTCAACGATAATCACATTAAATGTTTTATAAGCCTTTATAAGTTTATTTTGACAAATGATATTAGAACGCAGTCTGACGATTTTGTGTTTATTGTATATCAACTTTTACACATGCCCTAAAATGGATAGGTAACAAGTAAAAGAATAGGAGAAATTTTTTTTAAAAATACAAAACCTTCTGACCATTGTCAGAGATTTTAAAAATTGATATATTTTTATGTATTAAGAATTTCTTTTGTAAATTTTTCCTGGTAGTGTTGTGGCGTTGTTCCCTTATTCTGACAGTCTAATAATTGTCCTTGGAAATTAAGATTTACTTCCTATTTACTTCTAAGCGCTATTATATGACATCCCGATGGTTTTTCTTTCTAGTTGTGATATTGCAGCAAATATAAATTTGCGTATATATTTTCAAGTAAAAACTGACGATGGTTCGATCCCAAGGAGTCTAAAGCGTGGATTAAAATCGGAACTGTTTGCTATTATTATTAATATTCTGGCAGTGTTGTGGCGTAGTTTTCTGGCAGTTTAATCATTGATCTTTCAATTAACTTTTATTTACTTCTAAACGCTATTAAATGAAATCTCAATGATCATCCTTTTTAATTAAGATGCTGCAATAAATATAAATTTGCGTATATATTTTTAAATGAAAACTGCCAACACTGCTACTCCATTCTAAGGCGTCTAAAGCGCAGTGTAATTTTTACAAAATATTAATCACGAAAAGCTCCGAGTTCAACATATTTTGCAAAAATTACAATTCATTTTGACTCAATTTTTTTATCTTTTAACTTTGAGCTGTGTTTGCTAACTTAGATTCCTAATCTGTTATTAGGAATGTAAAATTAACCACTCACCTTTGAGGGCAACCAGTGGTTAACCACTCATCTTTGTTATTAACTTGTATGTGATGAAGCAGTGCCTGCAAAAGTCAATTTTCACTTGAGATTGTAGGGCCAATTCTCCAATCAAATAGACCGTAACATATCGTTGTTATGGCAACGGTCCTTTCATCATATAAACTGTCGAAGTGCTATGTATTTGGTGTGCAATCAGCGTTTTACATATAAAACAAAACTTCACGTATGTGCTATTAATGCTCATCAGTAAGATGCATAATAACATTTTTTTATCTTTGTGCATTTTCCAGGTTAGGCTTTATAAATAAAACGGCTGACTGTTGAGCAAATATGTAGCATTTTGACAGTTTTACTACCAATTTATGTAAAGATAGGACGCCAACATTGAGTTGCCATAACGTTATTGTTACTGTCTATTTTGTCGGAGAATTGGCTCCTATGTGAGATCTATAATTTTAAAGTTGATCTAAGATAGAGTAACATCAATCACAATTGTATCTACCAAACAAGTAGCTATTGTCTAATATGCAGTTGCAGCAAATAATAAATAAAACCTTGAATAGAAAAATAATCTTATTTATATTTTAAAATAATTTTATATACAAATATATACAACAATTAATATACACATTGATGGCATAACATTTATGAAATTACAAAACGATGAGGCGAAATATGATTAGAATGTTATTTTGATACAATACAACTTCAAACTAAAATATCAAATTAAAAAAAATTTCTTCTTGCAACAAATCCTGCGTGACTCAGTACGTTATAAATTTCTTTCCTCGATATTTTCTCAGCTTCTCTGTCATAGACCTGCAAATACATTTATATGTATAGGTATGTTATTTTAATCCGTTTCTGAATCTTTCGAGCATATCGCATAAGTATTTTTAAACTACTTTCCATAAAAAATTTAATATAAAAGTATCTAACGATTATGTAAACATTGAGTATAATGAAGAAAGTATCAATAAATTTCTACGAACGAATGCACATATTTACTCTTATAAAAGAAAATCAAGCATGCAATTATTTAATAGAAATAAAAAAGACCATTTTCACGTAGTACTAAAATGCTAACATAGTATAAGAAAACATTTGAGCGTAAGGTGATACAAACATTTTAATATATTTTAAAATTGCATTAATAAATTTTTATGTTCAATATTTTGGTTATATGCACCACTTAAATTATTGCAACGTCATTATATTAATTCTATAAAACCTACGTATCAATTAAAAATCTACAATTTCTAGAAATGTTTATTTTGAAATTTTTGATATATGTAATAATAACGTTTCACATTATTTTATCATTTATTCAGCATAAGAGATTTTTTTACTAAAACTCTAGAAATTTTCAATTGTAAATTTTAGTGAATTCATTTGATTGACTAGATTCATTTGAAAATCAATTTTACTCTCAGTGAGTGTGAATCTTAAGAAAAATTTGGTTTCGTAAATTTGAAGTTTCAGAAAAACACAACTTTACACATGACCAAAAAAGAAAACATGATTATAAACAAAAAATTAAACAAACTTTTTTTGAGAATAAAATTAAACTGTTTATTTAATAATAATGATCTATGGTTTGGGTATATAGAATATCCCCTTGTTCAAGTAAAGGTAAAAATAACATTTCCTATTTCTAATTATGTATCTTTCACTCTCTGAAAAATTATTACATATATGTATATGTAAATACATATATGTAGCATTATTCTCAACATTACATATATGTATTATGAACATGAAATGTTATTTTTATCGGGCATTCATCCAGGTATTAGGAATTAAACAAAAACTACGGGAAGTTAATAAGTATTTTTTCAGTATACATCTATTGTTTGTTTGAATCATCAAAAACAAAAAAACACTAACATCGACTTAATTCATATTAATGAAGAATACTAATTATTTTGAAATCTATATTTCAAGGCCGGGAGTATGTTCACGCCAAAATCAAAGCATATCACATATTGATATAAAAACAAAATAAAATCAATCAAAAATTATTATAAAATAAAATCAATCAATACAATACTTAAAACTTTGAATATATTGTAAATACAAATACAATTTCAAGATGCTTGTCATTTAATTTTTTAAATTAGTTATAATATAATTCTTTTTTTACGAATTTGACTTAAAATTAAAGTCAACTAAGTCTTTTGTTTAATGTATGTGGATTTTGTGTTTTGTTACATAATTTGTGTGTTTTGCCCACGAAAGAAAAATTAAAGTGTGGCTCTTTATTGTGCATTAGGTTTATTATTATCTATTAACTAGCCGGCCCGACAGACTTCGTCCTGTCAAAAAAAATTGTAATGTGGCGGTGTTTTGTGCCTACCTTTCTTCTATTCTTTGCAAAAAATTATCCTGAACAGAACCGTCACCCTGGTAATAATTCGGTGTGAATTAAAAATAATTAAATAAAACACTATAAGCATTTAAAAGTAAGTAATTTTAATAATGTAAATCATAATTCAAAAATCAGTTCAATGTTCATTGTAGTACTTTGTGATAAACGATGTTTTTTGTTTGATTACCTGGCGCATAGACAAACAAATCTGATGGTTTTCCAATACGGGAACAAACAACATACAATTTTCCATTTGAGAAACATGGGTTTTCTAAATTAATACCACAAACACTTAATGATACCATAAACGCACTGGAAACGCATTGGAATGCAGGGTGCGAGAACATTTTGTGCTTTATACTATCCTTTGAATATAGTTGGTCGATTTTTCGCAACATTATAATTGCCGATCCAACCCTTAATTGAAGATTGTGAGGTGACAATCCTAGCAAATCCAGCGAGTTTAAAAACTCCGGTGGATCGTCTTGGTTAGTTGCCGAATCAACTGATTCGCCTGTAATTTGTTCTTGAATTTTGAAATTTAATTGATTTACATCAATGTTTTTGGCTGCCAATATAGCTTGATTAATAGAAAGATATTTCTATGTTTATATAAATATATTCAAAATTAGATTATCAAAAACTACACAAAATGTCATGACATAGATCATTGTTTTTTTTACAAATTGCATTGCCTACTCGATTAAAGAAGAAAAGGGCTGTTTTTAGGGTTTTCCCGGCAATTATTCGTTTTTTTCTCGCCGTAACAACCATCCTTGGACTTCAACGAACATTTTAAAAAAAGAATTGGCCAAATTGGTCCAGGCGTTGTTGAGTTATGCGCTTACCAACACATTTTGCGATCCATTTTTATATATAAGAAGATATAATGAAATTTCGTATATCAAACTGGTACTTTATTTTTAGACGTTAGCGATTTTCATTTTATATTTAACAATATTTAAAGACAATCTAATAGTTTAAACAAAATATCATTTTCATATAAATTCATATCGGTTTTAAATCAATTAATAATATTTACCGGTTCTTCGCCTACTCCAAACCAGCTAGATTTAGCTAGAGCCTGCCGCACCCGCGGACTTTTGTAAAATGGGTTCATAAGATGTGGAGGTAGTTTGGCCTCTTCCTGTAACACCCGTTCGACCACAGGGTGAACGGGAGCTCTTACTTGACCCTGATGAAATTGGCCGTGTGCCGTTTGCCACCAGTATGTTGATACTGCCAAAAGGCACATCCACGTAGTAATTGACTTCCTATAATAAATAATAATATGCGTTACATCTAGTGATACATTTCAAATTCTTTTTAACTTCCCATAGGGTAAGTTATAGTAATCGCAAAAAAATCGAAAAGGAAAATGTTTATATATCTTTACGTTTCAGAGATTTCTGAATATTTTGGCATACTTTAGAAAAAATGGATATATGTGTGTGTGTGTATGTGTTCGGATACAAATTTTCGTCGACGATTTCGAGAACACGGATGAAGCGAATTGAATAATTCAAAATTCAGTAGTTGTCCAATCCAATTATGACTAATTAACTATACTCGAAGTATTTGCTGACATTTGATGCATTTCGAAAATGGAATCTTTTAGAAAACGATGCTGATTGGGATATTTCACTCGCTGAATATGTATTATACTGTTCAAACACCATCTACGACTGTGCACGATTAGAATTATATTATAAATTTAATAAATATGGAAGTGGAACTTGAGTATATTATTAATTTTTTGAACAGCATCCAACTTGCAAATTTCATGTTTCCTTGACGTTTCAAGCCATTCTTAATTGTTTGAGAGCAAACTTAGAAAAAAGTATGTTTGTAAGCTAAAGTTTGTTTGTGAATTTTTTGACCTGTTGTCAACGTTTTCTCAAAAACGACCTAACCCACTTCTAAAATTTAAAAGCTTTTTGATGAAACTGAATAAGGATTCGCTAATATAGGTTAAGCAAGACGATATCAAGAGATATCATTAGGGAATCGAGCTGATTAGATATTTGCAAAAATCAGTCGAATCATTCCTTTATAATTAAATGTTGAATAAAAAATTGTTTGCGTTTTTCATAAAACTTATAACGGCGGTACGGTTCATGGTCCTATAATATTATAGACTTACAAAATGTGATTAAATTAAAAAAATAGTTGGACATAATGGACAACTCTTTTAGAACATACAAGTTCGCGTATGTGCACTATAATTATTTCAATTACTATAATTATAAATTTATTTTGTTTAAAACATTGCAATTTTATTAAACTGCATTTGATATTTAATTTTTGGTTTTTAATAAAAGTGAAAGCATTATTGTCAAAATAAACATAAAAATTTTACCTAACTAGCTGAATCTCATATTAGGTTTTTAAGTAAAATTTTTCTCTCCTATTATTTTAGTCTGCTACTTACATATATATATATATATATTCATATTCATATATAAAATTTTATTCACTTAAATGGATTTACTTATTTGATTATCCATGATTAATTGTGATTTCAAACTATTGAAATCTAATGTTATATCACGTACATTTTTTTAATATGTAAATCAAAACTCACAAATAATCATGTAACCCAAAATAAACTTTTCTTTCATCATAAACATTGCATAATTATTCTAAAATGAATCGATTGAGGCCAAATGATGCGTATTGTCTATGATGTGTGTCGCGAAAGATCGTAACACAGTAACGGATTAGAAATTATTAACATTGTTCTCATTTTATTCGGAATTATATATTTATATTAATATGATAAATATAATGTTTTTATAAATAATGACAAACATAATTATGTCTCAGTATGTAATATTATTTGTAGAATAATGAAATAAATTAAATAGGTATGTATTTTCAGAATTTGAGATTCAAGTGGTTACTTCTATATCTTTCTTCTAACGTATAATGAATTAATAAATAGTAGTCTGCCCGAAGACAGGTCCATGATGCGGGAGCCACCACAAATCACCTTCCTCGTCTATCCTAATGTATACTATACTATTTTTATCGTTTGTGAGAAATAATATTGTATAAATTGAATGTAAATTGTATGAGAAAAACCAAAATGCGCCTTTAGAATTTTAGATTTTAGTAGTTATTTGTATTAGTTATTATTTATAACTAGTACTTACTTTAGTAGTGACCTTTGACTGTTATTGCTTTTGTATCTTAAACTGGTATATCAATGGAAAACTGTATTGGACAAAATCAAATTGCGTTTTTAAAATTTGAGATTTGAGATTTGAGATTTGAGATGAGAGAAAATCAAATTGTGTTTTTAAAGTTTAGAATTTATTAAAGTGTAGTATTTTATGAGATTAAATATTAAATGAACATCGTTTTTAATTTATCCATCCGTACTACAATTCAATATGCATCTTTTAGCGCGTGCCACTTACCTGTGACAAAAGTATCTATCTATTGTACGTGACAGAAATATTGACTCAATTGAAATTATCGATTAGTTTCAATACACATTTGTTAAGTTATTCACATTACAGTAATTACTTTTAGTCTAGAAGCGACAGAAATATCGATCAAATCATCGATTTTTTTCATTAAAAATGTGTTTAAATAGTTATACACATTACAATAATTACTTACACAGAAATCATTTTTGTTGGTTTTTGAAATATATATAATATAAATGGCAATAATTGCAAAAGAACACAAATGTTATATTATTTTCTCCTATGACATATATTTGTGAGCATATTATTGTTTATTCCGTTAATTATTTTCACATTTTTTTACAGTAATAATAGAAAATTTAATAGAAAATAAATGCAATACGAAACAGCACGTATACCAATAATTAAAATTATTATAATAAAAAAGTATAAATTAATACATAAAATTGAATACGATAATCAAATGAAAAAGTATTCAGACAAAGCCATAAATGAAGCTATACAAGGACACATCTCAAGGCGAAATGAAAATTTTCACATAAAATATTTAAAAAAAGAGAGAACATTATATAGAGTGCAATCAAACTATTTTTAACATCTAAAAGAGATCAAGATGACGAAAAAGTCTAATCTTAAAATGAAAATAAATGAACATTGATAATAAATTCAGATAAAAGAATCAGAACAATTTGTTTGAAAAAAAAAAATATATTCATGATTGAATAATCGAATAAATGCTACGAAAATCTGGACATGGTCATATTATATTTTGTATAGTCTTTCATACAAGACTGATGCATATAGTTAATATTTATTATACATACTACTGAAAAAGGGCGTAATGTTGATTCCAATTACCATCTATATTTTCAAATATTTGATCAATTTATATATATATATATATATATATATATATTAATATAAATTTCATTTACGATTATTTTGACACGGTTTCTAATCAATGCATATTCATATGTAAACTGTGTAAATATTGCACAATGGGCATACCTATCAAAATATCGATATCGTACGTGCCTGTGTCGATTATTAGCAAATGATGTTTAGATTTAGCGAATTCGTCTTCACTTTCGATTATGATTTATAAATTTTATTCACCTGAGCAAATGTGTGTTATTACAAAACTTTTATGGTAACACTGATGGCGCCCGCGTTCTTGAACATATATACTTTCGATCCAGTTCAACGGCTTTGCCGGGAAGAAAGTATTTAAAACATTTTCAATTTCTCGCGTTGATTACTTTTAATAATAATTTAAAATTAAACTATGTGATTGAATTTTATGAGCTTTGGTTGACTGTTTTTCGTTGTTGGTTGAACAAATTGAAGTCTCTTGAATTTTGTTTTTATTATATGATTCTGATTTGATATCACAAAAATTTACAATGAATAAAATTCGAAACTCTATTCACAACTCTTTCATGTATTTATGTGAGGTTAATAGATATTTCACAGATTTTATTTTAAAAAAACTGTTAATAGTATATTTTATTAAAAAAAAATAAACTAGAGGTGTATAGCATCGCATTCCGTAAGGCAAATTACTGGAACTCTACCTCCCGTAATGAAATTTTATAGACAAAATATAAGAGCTTATACATATTACGACAAATATATTTATATATATATATAAACTAAAACAAGCGGAGTTAGAATTAAAAGACCTTAATTCATTTTTCTAAGAATTATATATACTGAATTGCAAAGTTTAAATTATTTTTATCGAGTATATAAGTGAGTTTTAAAATTATAGCTCAAATTATAATTAAAATCTGATATTTAAAGAAAAATATTCAATTTTTTTTATTTTTTGCAATTAAATTTTTTTTGCAAAATGTCTTTTGTATCATTCAAATCGAATCTGCGGTTTCTCAAAAACTGAATGAACTAATTTTTAGTATTCACACATACACACATCACATCCATTTTTTCTGAGGTATGCCGAAAATGTTCTGAAACCCCCATCATCGTGAAATAAATAATAAACCTATAAATCGTGTAGATATGCGAAATTTCGAATCGAAAAAATCATTTACGATTTTTTTCCCTACGCAAAGTTGATAAAATCAAGGAGTTTAGGATAATATGATGAATGTTATATAAAATGAACAGCTCAATACATTTTAAGCTAATGATCTCATATAATGCTAAATTTCTGAATAAAACTATATTTGCGTTATTAAAGACATCATTTGTGAAACGACATTAAAAAATTATCATTATTACAATTGGTATATTGCTTTTATATATGAATATATTTGTAATCTTATAATATAAATTGATATTTGAGTGTCTGGTGCAATGCAGAATACTTTTATTTTAATATTTAATAACACTACTGATATTTATTACTAAATTTAAAAATAATGATAACGAGTATAATAAGAATATATCTCACAAGCACTAAGAATAGCACAGACATAAAATAATTTATTTGTGATTTTTATCAAAATTACGTTGAATTTAAAAAGGATAGCAAAATTTATTAAAAAGGAAACAAACCGATACTTATCTATAAAAAAAATATATAAATGTGTAACTCAAACTTTTCTGATAGCTAATATTATTTAAGATATTGTTTTTTCTGAACCTAAAAGCTTTGGTTTTTGAAATGCACAGGTGAAATGGAATCTGTAATTAAATTTTAAAACTACATACATATATACATGTGTTATTCATATTGATGGCAAATTTAATCTAATTGGTAAATTTAATTTCATAATGTTATTTTTTATTTTATTGATTATTGACTTTGTATACGAGTGCATTTGTCATATCCACTTTATCAATCATTGTTCATTCCTAATGAAATATTTATTAATAAAAAATTATATAAACCTTTATAAATTATTTAAACAACATATAATATCTGTGAGTTTAAAAAAAATGAATAAATACTGATGTAAATAGGTGTAAGTGGCTTTCCGATATACGCAATTAAAAGAATTGATTTTTTTCAACTTTTTAAATTGTGACAATCATTTCAAACTTTGATGATTTCTTATAATCAATCCACTTTTGTTTGTCTATTATCTATTATGATGTTCATTAATGCCATAATCTTTAACATCATATAAAATTTTATAAAACTGATGGTCAAAGAAATATTCAACGCGAGTTTTTGTCGAGTTTCATTAAAATGGCTTTTTTAATTTGAATTTTTTAAACTAGTTCTGCCATATCTGAAAAAACATTGATAAACGTCAAATTTTGGTACACACACATAA